CACCACATGCCCTCCAACTCGTCCTCCATCACTATCACTTCACTGTCTTGCTACACTCACTCACTTACTAAAGACGACTATGGCCTTGAAGATCACCCCTGGTAATCTCAAGGAAACAAACTTGTATCCTACAAGACTAACTCTTCCTCCCACAGACGAAGCGACTGGAAAGACTTATCTTGGTCAGGAATAGTGTGATTTAAATGTTATGAGGTATGGTGGAATACTAAAATCTTTTAAGTGTTGAAACTTAAAATATCATTTTTAGCCAAATTTAGATGTTTGATAACTAGGTGCTAGTCATCACGCCTCTTATTAATCTATACTTTAGCATCTTGAAATCATTTTGATTGCTATCTTTAGGTTGTTCATTATAAGTTGCACTGAAATCTCTTATTTTGTATTTTAATGCTTTAATCTAGAGATCTCTTGCTTATATTTTAATTTGATTAAAGTAAAATCGATTATAATTATTTGTCATTTTATTTTGTAGTGGAAGAGAAAAGAAAAGCTTTTGTCTTTGGTGGTATTTCAAATGCATGGCATGGGTATTTGCTTCTAATTTGATAAAAGTAATTTTAATATACTTTGTTTTTTATTAATGATTGTACTAGTTTACGTACAATCTTGTAAATTATATATAAGATGATGTACAATCTTATAAATTAATGTTATAATACAATTTATTATTATTTATTTATGAATGAAATAAAGGATCATATTTTTTTATTTGATTTATTTTGTTTTATTGCATTTTCATTGTATAAGATTTTGTAGCACTCATTGTGATCTTTTTAATTAGTTGTCACGAAATCTATGATGAATTAGCATATAATTTTGTGATTGATTAAAATAATTGTAATTTCAGAAGTTGGTAAATTTTTAAATTTTGCGATGGAATTTATCGACCGATTCTATAAAAAATGTGACAGAATTTTGTAACATTTGTAACGGATATATCCGTCATTTAAATTGTGAAAGAATTTAGAAAAAATTGTGACAAACCAACAATGACAGAATGTCAATCTGGAACAAGATATATCCGTCATAATTTTCGGTCATTCAATGAAATGAGAGACGGGAATAAATCTTTTGTGACAGATTTTACCGTCACTATTACCCCAAAGTCTGGTAGCGAGGTAAATGGGTAAACCCGCAACAAAAATGGGAAAGCTGCTGAACCGTTTTATTGCGACAGTATGTATTTGAAATTCACAAAGCAATAAAAGCCAAATGCGGATTCCAAAGGTGGTGTTATCGCAAGCCTGTACTTGAAACCCTAAATTCCGAACTAAATTTTATTGGCGGAGAAATTGCTCAAGAGATAACTACCATTAGTTGATCGAATTATTTTTTTCCTCTTGTTGAATTTTAAATGACAAACGATTAAATCATTTAATGTACTCTCTAATTACTTGGTTTTATTGTTTAATTGATAATATTAATGCTAATAAAATTTAAAGTAAATTACTAATTAATAAATTTCAATGGAAATAAATTTAGAGCTTGTAGAAATTAGATAGTTTCATAAATATGTTTTAGAATTTCAATCCATCATAAGTCCATGGGATGTGTTTAGACTACTCTAAGAACCGTCCACAATATGAGTAGTTGGTTCCAAATCCAAACCATGGACAGAACCACGACAAAGTGGGCAATGCTATCCCTAACCAGACACTGATCAATGCAAAGTTGATGATATAGATGTTTGCAGTTGGAAAGAACCTTAAAATGATCCCCTTCCTTGAACTCTTCCAAGCATATAGCACAACCTTTGCAGTTTGATTCAGTTTCTTGATTCTTGTCGATAACAATGGTCCCAGGAGGCAAGATTGGGATTGAAGCCCGCTGATTCTCCGGCAGCTCTCTTTGCATAGCATCGAGTACTGGATAGCTTGATTCCCCGGTTTCAATATCTTGGGGATGACGTCAATGTTCCGTGAAGTCTTTGTCGCGGCAAAACCCAAAGGTCAGTATTATAATGGTTGCAAATAGCGGCCCCCAGAGTGCAAGAATAACGACGCCAAAAGTTGATGGCATGGCTAAAGAGAATGATTTTTTATATATTGGGGGTGGGATTTCTGTAACTTAAATCCAAATCTTATAATACGTCACAATTCGTCTTTTGTCTTTTAACTACTCGGTCAAGAGATTGTTGGCCTGAACGAGTGATTTAATTTGATATATTTATGTAACGCTCCAAGCTTACATTAAAAAAACGTGTAGTTAAAGAATTATATATGTGTAAAAATTTAAATTCAAACTCAAGAGACGTTTTTTATGAGATATATATGTAAAAATCTAAACTCAAACTTAAGAGACGTTTTTTGTGGGATAAAATCATAAGATTTTCGAATTAAAACAAATAATACTTTGCAGGTTAAGTGTGGATCTCTACAAATAATATCAAAGCGGTCACCTGTCGACGGTCGTAAAAGTCATTAAGTGCTATACGATGGTCTAGTATGATCTTGATATTTTGATTAGACTCGACTTGATAGAGATGTCACGCTTTAAAGGTAAGAAGATTGTAACACTCTCAATCTTATATTGAAAGAATATGTTGATAAGAAATTATATATATAAAAAGATCTAAATCCAAACTTGAAAGGTATTTTTTGTAAGATAAAATCGTAAAATTTTCGGATCAAAATAGATAATATCTCGTAAATTGAGTGCGAATCTCCATAATTTCAAATCAAATTAACTAAATAAGAATGACTTTTTTAATACAAAGAGACTTGCAACCTAGAAAATAATTTAGTTAGGTTAATTATAGTAATCCTAATTCACGATGAATTTGGTTTTTGACCAAGTATATATCCCCGGTGGTTTTTGATTGATTAATACAAAAATTACCCTCAACACCAAGTAGCATTTCAAACAATTAAAGGAAAATTTTGAGGTAAGGTTTTCTGCATTTCTTTGACTTTAACCACTGGTAAGTTTTCTTACCTTGAACACCAAAATATCATTTAAAGATGGTTTTTTTGGGTGTTAAAGCATGTGCATTTCTTACTTGTTTATGTCAGACTTTTAATTTTGATTTTAAATACAATTGGTGAAGGAAAAAACTTCACAAAATGATATATATTTTATAACATCACATCTATATTAGAAGTGATAAACTAAATAACTCATAAAAATTTAAAATTAACAATTTTATCTTTTAATTTTAGTAATGGGAAAGGTTATATACACATAAAAACATATAACATATGTATACTTTAACTTTTTTTTGTTCTCATATCAACTTTTTTCTCTTAGTTTTTAATCATATTCTTTTACTTTTCAAAAACGCTATTACAAAACAGTTATGTAAACATATATGTCCATGTTTCTTATGTGTATATAGCATTTATCTTTAGTATACTATCAATTTAATTAAAAATTAAGGTAATATTTTATACATAAGATTATGATAAGATAGAATAAGATGATATTATAAATATGATTAGATTAAATAATATCATATTATCTTATATTTGATGTGTGCAAAAATTAAGATAAGATAATTTATTTATTGGTCAAAATTATCTTTTCTTAAAGTTTATATAATTTAAATTATTGATATAATTTTTTATTAAGATTTGATAATTTATTTATTGGTCAAAATTATTTTTTTTCAAAGTTTATATAATTTAAATTATTGATATAATTTTTAAAGATATAATAGGATATGTAAATTTAATTTCTTAGATTAAAAATAATTCTCTTTATTTTGAGAGAATTAAATTATCTTATATCAAGAGGATGATCATTCACCTTATAATCCTATATCTTTTAATTATATATAAACTAAATATAATATAAAATAATTATCACATTATCCTATCCATTATCCTATATACTAAGTATATCAAACATGATCTAAAATCCTTATCAAGCTAAATTATTTAGGGAACCATAGATAATTATTAGATAGAGAGAACTAACTGTTTAATAGGTGAAAACTATTTAAACATCAAGAAAAAAACTTTAAATGCTCTTTTGATGAATGGATTGTTGTAATCTTCTCTAAACTCCACATCCATGTTGCCTTTTCTTTTTTGGTACATTCTCTTTTGTCTTCTTTTGAAAGGTAATTTATCCCTTTTTTTTACAGTCATTTGACAATTGTAGTTTTCATTCAAGTCTTCTTCATCTTGTCGTAACTAGCTAGCTAGGATATGTTTACTAGCATATTTATCCTAAAAACTTTCATTTTGCCCTTCATTTTTTTTAATTTTTTTTATACACAAACAAGATCATCACATGGGAAAACGAAAAAGGTTGAATGTCTTAATATTTTTCTTTCTTAATTTGAATATAAGTGTGTTAGATACATTTTTACGAGAACAAAACCAATCTATTATTATTATTATTATATATTGGACCGACGTCTCTTCAAGTGCAAGAATATCAAACCGATACTATTAAAGAGGCGAAGAAAATATTTATTTAAAGAAAAATAAATGGTATTCATCCTTTTTTTTTTTCCCGTAACGAGGAAATTGAAAGGCATAGACGACAATATGCGTTTGCCAAGTTACAAATTCGCAACTTGTCTTAATCTTCATTTTTCATGTGCAAAATCTACACAATTTCTTACATGTTTCTCTTTATTATTAATTTAAAATCATTATTTGTCAATAAAATTCAAAAACCACCACATACCGTAAAATTTCTAGTAAAAAATTCATTGGTTCTAACTTATCCCTATCCTTCTTACCAATTTGTAATTTCTTTGCCAAGATGTTGACTTCAAAAGTTCTAATATTTGCTCGTTAAAAGACAGTAACATAAAAAATCAGGCAGAATTTGTTAGATATAAAGCCCGTATTAGGGCAATTGGGTGTAATCAACATGGAGAATCAGTGTTCGAAAATTTGTAGTTCCATTCGCTAACAAATTTTTAAGTTTTAACAAATGATTACTGAAAAGTAATTAGGATTTAATAATACTTGGATGCAAGGTGTGAACTTGGTACTCACATAATCCTAAGCATGTCCATTTACAAGTAGAGCAACGACTTCATAATAAATACATATGGTTATACTTATCAGGCAGGATTTAAGTTGGTTGGTGTATCTGCCAATGCACCAGTCAAATTCCTATTCAACATCAAGTGCAACCAAAACCCAAATCACTCCTAAACCTAGCAGCAGAGCTTGGCAAGCCATTTACAAGATTCAACGTGGTATGTCACATGAATAACACACCATTTATTCAAGAATCCTATCACGATATATTCTATAAATGACAACTGCTTGATTGGATCCCCGGCTAAATTATGATATGCTGGAGAAAATCTGAAGATCTAATGGATGTGAACAAATGTACCTAATCATGCTTCTTGAGCTTGAATTTTCCCTTGGGGATCTTGCTCAAGACACCAGAATCCAGCTTTTTATAGTGATTTTGGAATTGGTCAAACACATTGTAAACAAAGCTATCAATTTGCTCATCATACTTCTCGTACAGGACTGGTAATGCATGGGCTGCAACAAAACCTGACAAGCACAATAAAACCTTCAGGATCAACAGCAATGCACATTTATCAAAAAGCTAAAGGTGTCTTTACAGCGCATCCTGGAAAACCTAAAGAATACCTCTGGTTTATTCCATAAGATGAAAAAAGATCAGCACTTGCAGAACCGTACATATTGGTCAAATGGACCATTGATTATCCACAATGTGAAGAGCATAAAATCATTTACATCATGATGCAAAATGAAAAATCAAAATCCCTGAAAACTTTAATTGTCAATTGCAGTACCCGACCAGATTGATCCAGCAAACCACAATTTCAATGATGTTATATGTCCAAATTAATTATGCTGGCTCAAGCGCAAAAACCATTATATGCTCCATTGGTTAATCAATTACAGGCCTCATTTTGCAAAAGCAATTCATAAAAAAATAATCCACACATTTTCCCATTCCAGAGAGAGGAAATTTTCATCATGTTCACCGAATTCTTTCCAAACTATCAATCCGAAACATCCAGTTGCCAATAGTGCCAAAGTTGGCACACATATCTATGTAGTCCACCATACGGTTAAAGAATCAGTCGAAGGAAGAAGGCAAAAATATTACTCCGTCCCAAATTAAATGTCCATTTTATTCTTATTGGGATGTCCCAAAACTATATACTCTTTCCTTCATGAACACCTACAATTCTTGACTTCATTATAATCCACATTAATTTTAATATTTTATTTACATATATATTATAAACAATTGATCACCAATAATAGAAAGACATTTTAATTTTCATATAAGAAATAGTAAAGTCAAAGCATTTTTCTAATAGAAACATTCAATTTGAGATGAAGTAATTTGTTGCTAAAATAAACATAGTTTAACCAGGGAACTTTCTCAAAATGTTAATTTAACCCATTGGACCTTTATTTGGCACAATCAAGACATGAAACCATTATTTTCATCCAACTTGTTAAGCTTGATGTGATAAAGTCCAATAATTGTTCAATGATACAAATGTATGTTATGTATACAAGTTGGCATCTAATGAGGCAATGAGAAAAGAGGAAACGTTGACATGGAAAATTTTTGAGTTCTACATTTTTAACAGTTTTTTGAAAGGGGCTACTCATTATTTGAATTAAGAGGCCTATGCCAGCTGCTTTTTATTTCTCTTTTGCATTCCAACCCTTTTCTCATCCTTCCTTTTTCCTTTTTTTCCTTCCTCTCTTTTTTTTAACTTATCTTTTTTCTTACCCACAGTAGGAGTGATATGATTGTTGATACCAGCAATCCAGGACTTGGCACTAGAATAGCCTTAAATGGCCAAATCCAATTACAGTGACACCAGATCAGGCACAGGCAGGATAGAGTCCAGCAAGATCAACCTAACAAGCGCTTACAAGTTTAATCCAGGCTAGTCAACATAGGACCAGCATGCCATTCGCAAAAGCAGCCTAGGCTAATCAGATCCAACCATTCCGGCACCAAATAAGCACCAACAGGCCATATTTGCACTGAACATATCAAACCTAAGCTGGTTGATGTCAGCAATCTTGCTGATCCACTACTAGAATATCTAGAAGATAAAAGAAAACAAGAGAAAGGAAGGCGAAAGATGAAAAAATTAATCTGGGTGGGGAACTTGTAACTCAAATATTTAGTAGGCTCAATTGAAGAAACTAATAACATTTTGAACCATGTCAACACTTTCTTTTTCAAATTTCCATATTAGATGCCAACGGATACACTTATCGGCATGTTTACATCACTTAATGTCTAAGGGGCTCAATTTGCATCAATTATCACAAGTTTGGCATATAATTAGATGGAATAACTTGATTAAACAAAAAAAATTTCAAGGCTACAATTCCCACTTTGAAAATGTTCACTCATTAATTACATTTTACAGTTTTAAATTTTATTAAACTAAAGAATAAATCTTGGAAATCTCAACTCTACTTAAGGGAAGAAATTTTCTTGCATTAGTGCTGCTTGCTAGTTGGAGGACAATGACTTAATTTTTGAGGCAATACTTATTTTAGGTGAAAATTTCGAATGGGATGATGAATGAAACCAAAAGAAAGGGCAAGTGATGGATCAATGCATGCAGCTAACAAGCACGATCATGTTCATGTTAACCAAGAAAAGTCAGCCAATGTTAAATGCAAATATATAATCAGTTTGTAGACAATGAGCACCAATAAATTAATTGGACCAACAAACCAAAGAAAGGAGTTTGTAAATCTTTCCCAACAGATCAACTTGATATCAACAACACTACAACTTATTGTCAGTTGTAACAATTTTAGGGTCCCTTCTGTCTTAACAATGCAAAACAACATATCATAGTATTACCATTTTTTTTTTTTGATGGAACTAACATGTTATTATGCAGAAAAAAATAACAAAATTTCTTACCAATGTACAAAACAGTCAAAAAGTTGCACCAACTTCCTATAACAGCAGCAACCCATAAGCTTACCGCAACCTGGAAAGTTTTTTATAATTAGTAAGTCACTCTAGCAAATCAAGAGTGACAGACAGAAGTTATTAGGAATGCAGATTCAATATAATGTTCTTCCTCCATATACTTTGATTGTAAGAAAAGTTGGCAATATTCATTAAAGCCGAAAACATTGCAATTATTTTCTGCCTTTTGGATCATCCGAGCTGAAACTTTTTCTGAAAATATTTTTTCATTTGATTTTCGAACTTTTTTCTCAGATTAAGTCTGTTAATTTTCAAGCATTAGTAATATGTTATTAAGGACCATTTATTGACAAATATATGCTGTGAAGGGAAGAATACTAGGAAAATCTCAAGAGCCTACCAGAAGAAATTGTTTCAAATTTCCTCCACATGCAACATCCTGCAGGAACTGTAAACCTCGGTTCACCTCAGCACCAAGTGACCTACCAATGCTGACAAATAATTCATCGGGCAGAACAAGGCGTGGCACTTTAGAAGGTGACCTATTGCCATGAAGTAATTTATTAAAAAAAATTTAAATCCAATCAGCAGCATGCAAGGGTATCAAAGCTTTAAAGAACAACAAATAATAAAAATTAAAAACAGCATATAAGCAGGCCTCTTTGAGTTACCTGTTAAGTAAACCTGAGGCATTTGACCAAACAAACTGAGCAAGCATGCCAAGAACCACAGCAAAGCATAGAAGGGTCAGGAAATGGTAATTAAGCCATTCAAAGAGAACCCATATTGCTGTTGCACCAGCTAAAACACTGGCTGAGATCTTCTTGTTCCTCCATAATAAAACATCAGCAGCTGAACAATTTACAGAAAAAACATTTATCAGAGCAAGTGTTTATAACAATTTCATGAAAAGTGTATAGGAATCCTACATTTTCCACCCCCCAAAATATGGTGTATAGGCCTCTGACGTCCAAAAAGCCGATTGAAGCTAGAAACAACTGAGTTTGATTTTTCTTCCTCAAAGAAAGACACAGATTTCTTCTTAGAAACACTATCAGCAACGGTCTCTACTAGATTGTTCAAAAAGTCCTCTGACGTTATTTTCTCAGGCATTGTTCTTGTGCTTCGAGAAAGTAGACAAATTATTCTCCAAGAATAAACTCAATGGCCCTGAAATCCCATCAATATAGTAACATCAAACAAATAATTGACACTCCTTCTTTAATAGTATATTTTGCAATATTTTTGGAAAAATAATTCGGACACTGAGGTTTGATAATTAAGCCCATTACCATTCACACACAAAAATTCCTTTTGCTTTAGCATCTCAGTAGACACAGAAACACTCAACTGAAATATGAGCAACAATTCCAAGTAACTTGAGTTTATCAGATGAATCCCATGAGATATCCACCTTAAGGTGTTTATAAGATCAAATCTTTTTTCACTACTCCAAGACATAGTAATTTTTTCTTTTTCTTTCCTTTGAAGCACAAATGTCACTTCTCATCCAGAGTTGAAAATTTTAATTGTCAAAAACTGCAACTACACCAATACTATAATAGGAAGATCCTTGGAACAGAAATAGCTTCAAGAAACCCAATTCTAGCACCTAGTTGGTCATTTTGCAAGAAAACCTATGGTCGCTAGTTGTTACAGATAATATCTAAGCAGACTTAGGCTCACTACATGTTGGTTGCAAAATTCTTATGCTTTTAATTTATTGGGCAAAAGCCAAAGCCAAAGCACTTGGTTGGTCATAACTCACATCTCACATGAATTGCATAGCAAGAAGTCTCTCTCTGTTTTTTGATAAAAATCAAATCTACCATCCATTCCACTGCATCCTATTCTTTCCGTTTAAGATAATGCCTATGATAAACATGGCTTTTGAGTGTTCAATTAGCAATTGAAACCTATAAAAGTACACCGTATAATACCCATACTGAATTAGACTTTAAATGTTTAGACTAGATAGAAAGCCAATTTTCAAGATGCAGCTTCCATTGACCACAAAGAAAGTTCCCATTCACCTTTGTCTTCTTAAAAAAATTAGGCATGAAAATCATTGATGTTTTAATTTCTCCAATTCCAACAAATTATTCAATTGTTTAATGATATCCCTTCTCTCAAATGCTTCTTTGTCATTAGTGTTTCACCTACACAGCATTTGGTCAAGACTTTGTTATTTTGGATGGCAATCTCCACAGAAATTCATATGTAAATGTTCTAAATTTCACCCAAATGCCCTTTATTAGAGTTGTTTTCACTTTTCATAATACAGACTCCTTACATAATCATATTGCAGCATCGCAAAATTTTAAATGACATGAAGTATGATCTCACCTTGAAACCTCTTATATATAAGATGTATGCCTTTCAAATGAAATAAACATATCTAAAAGGAAAGTGCGGAAATCCATCATTAAGCCAATTGCAGCATAGTGTGCAACCAGCGAGAATTAAGGTTTCACATCGTTATTGCTTTTGCTATTTAATAGTACTTTTTTCTTTATCCAAAAGGTTACTAAAAACCAAAAGCAAATGATGGAAATCAAAAACATGTATTCGTAATCGATTACCTTGTAACGTAGTCATTTTGTATAAAAGTCATGGATTTCTTATTAAAAAAGAAACTACATCATCAATCCTTCACTCTTTAAAAACATTATATTGACTTTTGTTTTGTCTAAAAACACCTTTTTTACTCTTTGATTCATAAACCAAAAAGCAAATAGCAAAAGCAGCAACCAAATGGGTAGTTAAGCCTCCAAAGCCTTGTTCAAACTGATGCTTTAACATGGCATTTAACCTTTTAGAGGAATATTTGAAGTGTGTTTCGATACATGAGCTATACCCAAAAAACAAAAAGGAAAAGAAAGGAAATAGTAGAAGAAATAAAGCAAGCACAAAATTAGCATGCTCAAGTAAAGTTCAAGGAAGGGACAGAAGCCAAAGCAAGAACCAAGCAAACAAGATAAATCATGAACCAAACAAAATCAACAAGAAGAACTGTATAAAAAAATAAAAAAATTAAAAATATGCCAACCCGGAAATTAAGCGTAAGAACTTTACTAGGATCAAATATAAGAAAAAATAAGATGATCAATGGATTGAGATTCCTGCAGAAATAGCATCATTTGTGGAATAAAAATTGAAAAAAGGAAGAAGGCGAAAGAGCACAAACCAGAAAGAGAGCTCGATGATTTTTTTGAGGAGAGTTGGTGACAGTGACAGGCAGAAGAAAATGAATGGAGGAATCTGAAGGAAATGTGTTTCTATTATTGTTTTTGTGATGGGTTCGGGGAAATTATTAAAAAAATTGACAAAATTAAAAATTATTTAAAATTTTAATGTTATTAAATTTAAATATTAAAATTATATTATAGTGAATTGCCTCGGAGCCGTGCTCTGACTGGGCTTCACGGCTACTTGCTTATTCTATTACTAGTCTTTTGGTCGTTCACGTGGGAAATGAGAATAATTTTCACAATCTATTAATTACTAACTCAATATTATTATTTTTCCAAAAAAAAAAAACCCTTTATATTATATATTAAAGTGATTTAACTTTCTTTAATTATTTTCATTGTGAGCATTGAATAAATATTATTAACAGTTTAACAGAATAATTAATGTCAATGTACATATTTGATTGATAGAAGGGGAAAGAAAATTAAATCAATAATGAATGAGGCTTAAAGTAAAAGTGTTAACAAATTTACCATAAAAAAATTCTAATTTACCATAACAAACTAAAAGTGTTCATGTTTAGATAGTGATTATTTTGGCTCCTTTTTTCAAATATTTTTAATATTTAATTTTTTTTTTGCAAGATCTTTTTTATTTCAATGGTTTATCATGAATGTATTTTTTTCTATTTCCTTTCTTTTATATATATTTAATGAATAATATTTTTTAAAATTTTAATTTTTGTTAGATTCACTTGATATTGAGAATTCATTATATGTTACACTATTTGACTTTTTTTTCACTTTTTATCTTTATTTACTTTTTTAATATTTAATAAATATTTTTAATAATTTACAAGTTTCTTTAATATCTACTCATTTGATATTATTATTTAAAATATATTTTTTTATTATTTTTTTAAATTTCATATTAAAAAAAAGTTAGTGGAGTTGTCTATGTTACATTTGAATTTAACTTTTTGGTTTTTTTTTTCTAAAATTAATTATATAAAATTTTTAATAAAAAACTCATTATTACTAATATCTATAGCAACTCAATTTTTTTCATTATTTAATTTTTTTTGCATTTTGTCTTTTTTTCTTTTTTAAATAAGATATTTTTTGAAAAAATAAACAAACGTGTACTCCAACTTTTATTCATTATTCAAGTCTTTTGGCATTTTGTCTTTTTCTCTTTTTTTTAAATAAGATATCTTTTGAAAAAAAATAGATAAACGTGTACACATGGTACCTTATTTCCTGTTTATTACCTTTATTTTTTAATTAATCAAATTCTTATTTAATATTTTAATTTAAAAAAATTAATATTTTAAACTGAATTGAAATGTCCATATCTTATCCTAATAAATTCCCTTTTCTCTTTTTTTTTTTGGTTTTTTATGTTTTTTTATTAAATTAATTTTATTTAAAAAAATTAGGTCAATGGAGATGTCTATGTAGTATTTTATTTGGTTCTTTTCTCTTTTACTTTTTTTTGTATTTTAATTAAATAAAACTTGTAATAAAATATGTCAATTGATAAAAATACCAAAACAATTCATATTTGATAGATTTCAATCCATCTTAATTCTATAAAGGACAAATTTTTTTTAAAATTAAAATCGAGTTGAGACGAGTTGAGTTTTTATTAACATGTTTAAAACGCTTTATTCTAACTCATTTTGGAGTATATATAAAAGTATATATTTTATTATTAATTTAATTTTATATTTATATATATGTATTATATTAATAAAGTTATTATTTGATATTTTAATTTAAAAAATTAATATTTTAGTATCAAATTTAAGAAATTGATATTTTAAAATTAATGGGATGTCCATGTGACACCTTTTAAGAACTTTTTTTTATTTTTTTATTATTTCTCTTTTTTTTTGTTCTTTTTCACTTTTTTACAATTTCTTTGATTTTATATTTTTTATTTGATATATTTTGTGATAATAAAAGATTAATTCAGGTATTTACGTGCTACCCCTATTAGGTTTTTTTTCTCTTTCACTTTTTTTTGTATTTTTCATTAGAGAGATTTTGCTACAAAATATGCTGATTGATAGCAATTCAAAAACAATCTGTATCCGGTAAGTTTTGATCCATCCCAATCAATTAGAGTCAGTTTTTTTTAAATCAATGTTGATTTGAAATTGGTCGAGTTTCTTATGAAAAACGACATTGGAGCGAAAGTGTATTTAGGATGATTGATCCTAACTCATTTTAGAGTATATATAAAAATGTATTTTATTATTAATTTAATTTTGATTTATATATGTATTATATTAATAAAGTTATTATTTAATACTTCAATTTAAGAAATTAATATTTTAAACTCAATGGGAGTGTCCATTAGGGGTGAAAAAAAAAAACTAAAAACTGAATCGAAATTGTAGTGTTTAGTTTGGTTCAAATTGGTTTTTTCCTTGTTCGATTCAAATTGGTTTTTTCCTTATTTGGTTCAGATCTAGGTCAAATATTAAATGTATATATTAAGTTTGGATTGGATTTCAGATCAAAATGTGACAAATTGAAAAAAAAAACTCGAACTGAACCAAATTATATATTTTATTAGTTTTTCTATATTTTTTAAATTTTTATAAAATAAAATAATTATTTATATATAAATATATTTAAATATATTAAAAGTCCTATTACATTATATATATAATAAAATAAAATGTAAAAACTGATGAACCAAACTGATAAAATTCAGTTTAGATCAAATCAGTTTCAAAATAAGGTCAGTTTGGATTCGATCAGATTTTAAAAATTTATAATATTCTGCATTATTTGAAAATCAAACTAAATTCAATCCGATCCAAACCGTTATCACCCTTTGTGCCTATGTGGTAACCTCTATAAACCTTTCTTTTTAATTTGCCCTTTTTTATTTTTTTTTAATTTTAATTTTAATTTTTATTAATAAATTTTGTTGGAATATTAGATCAATTAAGGTATCCACATATCATCTATATGTAGTTTTTTTACTTTTTGCTTTTTGTTTCTTTTTTAATTAGGTAAATTTTGTAAAAAATAAATGATAAATAGGGATAGTAAAACAAAAAAATTTTAACCCACGACAACACCCAAATATCCATCAAATGAAATTTAACTATCAATCAATTAATAATCTTACCTATATAGCTGTAAAAAAAAGGGACATAAAAGGGATTTTATTGTTTATTGAGGTTATTTGGTTGAAAAAGATAAGAGAAGGTTTAGAAAGACAAAAGATAAGGTTGAAAAAAAATAAAATAGTAGACTCAAGCACCCACCGCACTACAAAAGCCCAAACACCACCCTCTACCTATAGCCACCAACACTATTAGCCACCATCACTGCACTCACCACCATCATCAGTCACCCAAAAAAATTGCAACCACCATCACCCCACTACCAACCGCCACCCTTCACCACCAAAACCATTAACCACCAAACCTAAAATCACTACCATTTATTCAATCTAGCTGGTAGATACCCCATTAGTCCGGGGTTAATTTATATTTTAAAATTAGGCTTTGAATTTTTTAATTTATTTTTTGGTAATTTGAGTGAGAGTATTGTATTTAGTTTAGAGTTATTATTATTAGAAAAAACAACAAAAAAGGGGGAAAGAATTGTTTTGCTAAAACTTAAAAAGGTTTTAATTCTAATTGGGTTATTGAATTAAAAGTGTTTTAATTGAAAAAGGACTGTAAAAAAGAATTGGTTTGAGAGATGGATTTTGATTAAAAATTTAAGGTTAAAGTTGATTCGAAGATTCAAACCAAGAAAACTCATTTTTTTATTGTAATTGGAATTAGAGGCGTATAAAAAAACCCCATTAAGATCAATTAGAGACAATCAAGAATCAAAAGAAAAATAGTACAAATAAAGTAGAAAAATTAAGAATTTTTTATAATCTTTTCTAGTGTTTGGGGTTTAGATATTTAGGATTTTCTTTTGGGAGTTTTATGTTAGGAAAAGGAGTTGACAAGAAACATAATTATAAAAGCCCACACGCTTTGGAATCAAACGTGACTCAATCTCTGGTATTTTACTTTTTACTTATCTTTTTCTTAAGTTCTAGTTATCTTTGTATTTTATTATAATTGTCTATTTATTTATTTGTTTGTTTGTTTATTTTATTTATTTGACTATTTATGTCTAATTTTTAGGAAAAATTAGAAAGTATTTACAAATAAATAAATAAATAAATAAAACAAAATAAAACTTTAATCAATTTTTTTAGAATTATTAACAATTATCTAAGGATGAAAATATTAGAAATTTCAAATGGTAAATTTCTTAAGAAATCTCTAGGTGAGAAATTTCTCTAAATTTGATCCAAATAGTGAAATAATTTAGATGAAATTTCAATAAAAATAATTGTATTTTTTTCAAACAAAAATATAAAAATATAAAAATAAAACTTAAAAATTTGGGTGAAAATATTTGACAATTATCCAATGATGAAATATTAAAAATAATCACAAATGGTTGAATTTTCATAAAATTTCTAAGTGAAAGGTTTTTTCTAAATTCAACACAAATGGTAGAAGAATTTAAATGAGACTTCAAAAAATAATTGTCATATTATTTTCTTTCTAAGAATTAAAAAACAAACAAGAGTTTAGATTCTAAATTTAACCAAAATAGTGAAAAATTTAAAAGTAGAAATAAAAATAAAAAATAAATTTTGAGGAAAAATTCTTCGTAATCACAAATAGATGATTATCTAAGATATTTTTAGATGAGAAAATATTTCTAATTTTGGCCCAAATGGTGGAAGAATTATATATATTTTCAATAAATCAAAATTTTAACAAAAAATAAATTTGATTAAGCTTTCCAATGATGAAGTCTCCTCAAGAAAATAAATAAAATTCTTGAATACTCTTAAAGTGAGGAAGTATGTTTTTAAGAATTCTACTGGATTGATAAAGAAATCTTAAAAATTATTTTTAATATTAAATTTAAAAGCATTAGAATCAAGACCTTAAGATAATTTAAAATAAAATGGTATCATTCTTTGGATGAGCATGTGGGGGTGCTATAACCTTCCTTATATGTAACCAAACTCTTGAACTTTATTTTGATTAGTAAACCAAAACTTATTCTTTAAGGACCCTTAATCAA